AAAAAACAATGAAATAAAATAACTAAAGCCAACAATTGTCCAATAAGACATTGAAGTTATTTACTAGCTTTTATGGGTGACATCTCCGGGATGACTTTGACCTCATTTATATTTATTTTGAGGGCCTCATGAGTGAGCAAGAAACCCAAAAGCTTTATAAATTCGGCTCTGAAAACACAATTCAAAGGATTCATGTAATATTACAATTGTAACGAGTAGCAAATGATTTCAATAGATCGAGAATATGTTGAGCCAGCATCTTGCTTTAATAAATACATCAACAATGCGCACCTTAATTTAGTAGCCTTTTTTATCTTTAAGCATGTTGACAATCATTCTCTGGTAAGTTGTACCAGCTCTTTTCAATATGAAAAGCATAATGTTGTAACAGTAAAACTCATTGTTAATGCAGACTGATTTAGTAGCTTTTTTATCTTTAAAAATGTTGTAAATCATTCTCTGGTAAGTTGCACTAGCTATTTTCAATGTTAAAAGTATGATGTTGTAAGAGCAAAAACCATTGTCAATTATGAATAGAGGCTTCTCATAGTCATTTGGATGCATTCGATGATAGCCTGAGAAAGAATCCATAAAGCAATTGTAAGGTGGTAAATAGTAGAGTCAACTAAAGCATCTATTCATGCAGGCGAATAGTTACACTTGAGATAATCTTAATTTAGATTTATGAAATTGACACAAAAACCTTCCACTGTCCACAAAAACCTTCCACTGTCCATTTGTTTTTTGTCTATCGTGACATTTGAGATCTAGTAATGGAAATTGCACATCTTAGATGGAGTCATCCTCCTTCAAATTATAGATTAGACTACATTATGAATAAGCTAAGCCAAGATCCTGCAAATTGGTGAATATTTTGCTTAATTTAGTGTAGCTTTTTCTAAGGTATCAAATCAATTGCAAGTGATGTTAATATCAACATCAGATATTTCAATTGCAGCTCAATTAAAAAATATTAATATTCAACTGAAGGGTGGTGATGACTCCTTTTTGCACGAATGATGTAGGCCTCCTTCAGCTTATTGCATTTGTTGTGGATAGGCTAAGCCAAGGCCTTATCTTAGCAGCTCGATGAATATTTTGATTAATCAGTCAGAGTGACCACTTGATGTTAAAGCCAATGACAGGTGATAATAATATTGACACCTAACATTTCAGCTGTAGCCTAAGCAAATGCAGTGGTATTCAACAATAGAGTGGTGAAGAACTCTTACTTGTACCCTAAATTGAAGGTAGCACTAATGAAAATTGCATAGGTCTTTGCAAGGAATAAGAGATTTTCTCGATAGCCTCTGAGAATTTAAGTCCAACTCCCCTCAAAACTCTACTTATAGCAACAAATCATAAACAAGACCAATTGCATGGCAAAAATTTCAACAAAAAACCTCGGACAGTGATAGGTCAACCTCTCGTTAAAAAAACTATTGCATGTAGTAGGTTAAAAAAACTTGTTTTGAAGGTCTTGAGAAAATAAAACATTGAATGAAAGAAAGCGACAACTATGGTGAGTTGCCCGCACCCCAGGTGAAGTATGATTTATCCTTTGATCTCATTGCGGTAATCCAAGAATTGTAAAAGGACTCGACAGTAACATGAGCTCAAAGAGCCAAGGTTCATCAAATAAAAATATGTCTAAAAATAATATTAACATTGTTCTTTATTATCTATCAGAGTGATGTCAAAATGATAATTTGTAATGAGAGTAATGATATCAATAATGTCATAATAATGGCTATCAGTAGATGACATATTGACATCAAAGAAGGTTATAAGAACCTCAAGAGAAGTTGAGCGAGATGCGGAAACAGCATGGACCTGTCCAAAGCAAAGTCACTTGAAGCTAACCTGCTTTGACAACTCAGCCTCAACACCCCCAAGTACGAATTGGATTATCCCTATAAGTATGGCCTGCGTTGGAACAGTCTCAATTTAACTTTTCTTTATCAAAACCTTATCCAGTCATCACCCAAACCTCGTAAGGATGAACTTCAACTTTTCCACACAAATCAATTTTTCTATTGGGATATACAGTTGGTACAAATCATTAGCATAACAATTGTGATTCTCCTAGAAAACACAATATTTCAAGGCATCATGACCGTTGGGCCAGCGTGTTATGGCATCAATTGACAGAAGCACTCAACGCAAATCAAATTAACAATTTATGTAACATTCCGAGAAGATTAAAAATTAAATTTCAAATTGACGCATGAGACCTTGCCTACTAAAAAAGATTGTTGGTAAGCACCCGTGATTGCACATTTTAAGAAAAAAAAAATGGTGGTGATGTTTTCAAGTTACAAAATTGTTAGATCGCTCAGCCAACTTGTTTGAGTGGTTGCACAACTTGTTCCTTAAGACTAGGGAATTATGTTGAGCTTCCCAAGAAGAACCAAAATGTTGCAACTTGGAAGTAGAAAACAAAATCGCAAAGTTGTACTCTTTTGCATTGATGTGGGAGTTTGTTGAGGTTATATGTCAGAAGTCTTTGTCGCACCTCCCAAAGAGAGAACAACTGTATTGCTACAGTTCAGGTCAACAAATGTTTGATCCCTCAGTCAATCAATATGAAAAATCATGTAATTTGTTCCTAACTTCCCGGATATATTGTCAAGCCACCCAGAAGAATCAAAATTGTGGTAGCTTGAAATTTGACAGTGAAGTCACACATTTGTACTCTGTAGAGTTGATGAGAGAGATGACGAGTTCAATAATATGGCCAAAGTCTTTAACCATTGAAGGTCAAGTATATAACTAAATGAACCTCCTTAGAAGCCCTTAGTGAGAGCTATCTAGTTGACATCTAGCTCAAGCTCCATCATATCCAGTATCTCCAGCTAAAATTAAGTCAAGAATTGGCAAGATAGTTAAGTAGACTCTTGTCTCGTGTTTAAAAGAAAAAAAAATTGAGAATTTTTAATAAGTTTTTACACCCTTGCAAACTAAGTTATGTTTTATTGCTTTACTTTGTCAAAAAAAAACTAATGTTGTCAGGCATGATGTGCGAGAACCAGCATGGTGGTGCCTTGTTGAAGATAATGAAGAGAATGTAACACTTCACAACACGGCTAACGATGTAATAGAGAATTGAATTAGGGCAATAAAGTTGGTCAAGTCCAACTTACCCCTATAAGAGACTAACATGGGCATCGTGAATCCAGTGAGAGGTTAGGTCTCGACAATCTCAATGGAGAAGATATTAACAATTTGAGTCATATATTTGCAAGGTTTTTGAAGGAGATGAGTTCCTCCAATACTCCTTTTTGTACATTGTGTTGCGACTTGTTGTGGGATGGAGTTGGTGTGGTAACTTAAGTTGAAGCTTGGTGGTGGCAAGCAAGAAAGAAAGTTGAGTCATGCTCTTGAGGTGAAAGCATAAAAAGGATTGCTTGAGAAAATTGTTCGTGGATTCCCTAAATCATTTGAGTAAGACAATCAACCATGTTTTAGAGCTATTCAAAAGTGATAAAATCATTATTTTGATCGTTGGGTGAGGAATGCTCTACATGATGATCCATACCTGATTTCTGGCCTTTACATTGTCCAAATTGACCATGCCACTGCACCTTCAAAAATACTACATCCAAAGTTGTTTGTAGAGTAATACAAAAACCTTATTAAATGTTTGAGTCGAGTCTTATGAATATCGATGAGAGAAACTATAAGTAAAATATTTTGTTTAATTTATTGGGAATTACAAAAACGTGATTGATACCTCATAAAAGGTGTGACATATTAGGATAAGAAGTATATAAGAGAGAAGCTCCTAGGCAGTCTCGGGTAAAAATAAGTGGCCAAATATACAACTTATGTCTTACACATAGCACATCGATGACCCCCTATTTAAAGGCAAAGGCCAAAATCAATGCAATGGAATGGTTACAAAAGATAAAAAAGAAAAATGCATAAACCATCTTAGTAACATCAATCATGTAGCTAGAAATTCACGTCATTAGTTACTCTCTGTGTAATAAATGTGAATGACTTCCCTGAGCAAGAACCTCAAGCAAGTTAGAGAATACACGAGTAGTTGAGATATTTAGGAATAATTGCTTTTTGAAGTGGGTGACTATTTTGAGTCCCTTATGTGAGTTCACGATTGACTACTGAGATCAAAGAGGAGCTTTATTGGTCTGGGCAAATCGATGAGTTTCCGCTCTAGATAAGTCACGGCAGTAGGCAACACAGGGCCTCGGGTTACGTTTAGATTTGCCGAGTTATGAGTGAATAATGTTTTTAGTCTTGAGTGAGCTGTAATACCAAATTTAAGCTTATCAATTAAGTTGATCAACCAGGCCTAAGTAAATATAGGATATACACTCAAGTCTCCCCTTTGGAGTTAAGGAGTAATACCACTAAGCCAAAAACCCAGTGAAAATCTCTTTCCAAATTTTCCAAAAGCATTGGATTTTCTTGCTTTTAAATGATATTATAAAACACTTCATCTTCTCCACTCATCATATATGACATATCACTACTTCTATGATTTCTGAAAACAGGGATGGGGAGAAGGGCATCTGCTGAAGATCAAAATGATAAATGTATCAGAAGAATTATAGTCTAAATCAACAATCCGGATAACCTCTCAAGAAACTTTTTGCTCAAGAAAAAAATTAAAATATCGCAAAAAAAAAAAAAAAACCCCGCATCAAATTCAATAAAAAGCCATGGCCCCAAATATCAATCTATAAAACATGAACTAGATATATTCGCCCAATTAAGTTTAACATGATCAATCGAATTGATGCGTAAATATTGTCAGTATTTCAAAGAAAACGACTAGTGAAACTGAGATCAGAATCTATCTACCCGCCGTCAAAGAACAAAACTATCCACATCAGCCAAAAATCCTTCTAATGATGAACCTAATAGCGCTGATCATGAGGGCCTGAACCATCGAGACTATCAGCACAAATATAGCCGCAAACTATTTAACTACACGGTGAAAACGATTGATTCAACCGATTTTCCAATCAAATTACCTGATGAAATCGTGGAGAACACGGATGAAAAAAAAAAAAGTGGAAGCTTCGTTCGTGCTCGAGGATGAGAGTGAGAGGAATCCGAGTATGATTCCGAAAGAAACTGGAGTTATAGGGTTAGCATCTGGCGCGTTAAGAATGAGGGAAAAGCAGCTTAGAAGGTTAGAAGGTTGGTGCAATGTCGCCCTCTGGAATAATTTCGCCTCCGTGTCCAATTTTTTTATCGTTTTGCTTGGGCTATATTAACGATCTAAAAATATGCTAATTTTGGCTCTTAGTTCGTGCTTGTTTCTATCCGATCTCTATCTAAGCGAAAATTATAGTTAATACATAACCATCACTATAATCTTTAAGGATCTGATTTTGAGCTAAAGTAGGGTAGGTTCCAAAGAGGCTTAAAAAAAATTTGATTCAGAGTTTTGATTCACAGCTTGGCTTATTTATTTCGATCCGACCTAAAATTAGAGTCAATTTTCGATCCCCCCAAAAACTTTCATATCGCATAAAAAATATTATTATTTGTATATCAAAAATGTGCCTGCGAGAGAAATATGATAAGGAAGAGTCGACTGACAGCAAACCAAGTGTCTCACTTATCCAATTGGATGCAATCATCCGAGCCAAAGAAGAACGCTAACAGAGTTTGAATAAGGATAAAAAAGAAAGATCTAGGGTCAGTTTGGGGCAGCTTATTTGGTGTGGTGGCGTTTTGAAAACGCATCTGACCTGTTTAGGTAAACTGCATTTTGACAGTTTATGCGTTTTCAAAACACAGAAAACTGTGTTTTCACACCGCACCTATTTAGGTGTGGTGGCAACTTATTGACAACGGTTTGACTTTTCCAAAAAAAATAAAAATTTGTAACAGCTACCGCACCTAGCTTATCATTAGATTATTTTTAATCAGTTTATCAGCAGATTATTCAATAAGCTGCAGCTGCCCCAAACAGACCCCTAATCTCAAACTTATCAAACTATAACAAGCAGATAGGCTTTCGAGCTAATCACCACTGTAGAGTCGAGCAAAGACATTGACCTACCTCTTGATAGATCTAAATTGAAGAAAAATATAGTTCTTCGCCATCACCAGCTACGCCCCGCCCCGCGTGGGTTCTTAGTCAAAGACCAAGAATTGACAACACAATAGAGCTTCACAAGCGTCCCAAGGACTTTCTCATCAATAAATGCGTTATCTATTATGTTACATTGATTTACATAATGCTTGATCATTTTGTCTCATTCTGTTGACAAGAGCTCCTCATCAAAGGATCGAGGGTCGATAACCATACCATATCAACCAATGAACGAAGATTAGTTGATCGAGTTAATCTCGTAGACCCGAAACTAATTAAGTCTAGTCGATCGACTGTGCCAGTCTAGCCGATCGAACCAAAATTATCAAATTGAATTCCTGTTAGCTTGGTAAATCGAGTCATGGGACAACAAAGAAATGTGTTCATACATGTATAATATCTATAATACCATATACAACTTACATTAAAGTATGTGCATAAATGTAATATCACATATTTTACCCTCTCGAACTCTCCCCTATAAATAGATAGATTGTTTTATGAGAAAAAGGATCATATATAAGATGTTTTACTATTCATTATTATTTACTTTTTGTTGTGTATATATAAAACAGAAGAATAATCGAAAACGAAGCAAAAAATAAAAAGAGAAAATTTACACCAGAAAAAAGTAACACAGCAGAACACAGATTTACGTGGTTCGGCAAATTTCTTACGTCCAAGAAGTTGCTGAGGATTTTGCTACTTAAGGAATATACATTAGTCGATATTCTCGACTTACAAGAGGAATCTCTCACTGTCTTGATCTCTCTTCTCTCTCTACATTGAGATACACCGAAGAAAATAAACTTACAAGAGAAATAAACCAAATTTCTCTTCTATCACAAGCCACAAAGAAGAAGCTAAGGGAGAACAATCTTCTTCTTCTTTCTTTTGCTGCCCGTTGGAAGTTGTCGGCCGCCCTCATAGTTTAAATGAAAGAGCAATATACCTCAAATCCTACTTCTATCCCAAAGAATAAACACAATACTTGAGGATGAGGCTCGATCAGATAAAGTAAGAATCAAATAAATTAAGAAATATATGACATCTATTTGTCCACGTCCGTTTGGCCTGTGAAATCTTTGTATTTGCCGACAAGTTCCTTTATTTAATACAAAGAATTAAAAAGGGTTTATATTAAATTGGGTTTGGAAAAAGCTTACTATAAGGGCAAGCCCCTATAGTTGATTACATTCTAGACAACCGAAGTCACCTAAGAAAACTCTCGATAAAAATCATGAAATTCTCGATAAAAAAGAAAACTCTCGATAAAAATCATGAAATATTATCTTTAAAGAGGTCAAAAGGATAAGACTTTTCAACGAAATCAGACAAATAAGTGTGAAAGGGGAATTGTTCAAATTTGTAACATTTATTGCAGAATCCAAAGGAAGAGAGGTCAGGGGATGTCATAGATCCGGAGGAGAACCTCGGTGACTTCCCAAACTACCCTGTGGTTCAGCTTCAGTATAGAAGAGAAATTATTTAAGTGTTTCATCGTGCCAATTTTATTAATTAGGGTTTATATTCGTGTGAAACGATCACACAAAAATTTTAGAAGATGTGAGGATTTAGGTCGTGACAGACGACAACCTCGAAATCTTAAGACGAGTTAGGGCTTATATTGTATAGCAAAGTTATACAAAGACCTAAAGATAAGTTGAGAATTTATGTTACATAAGCCAACAACCTCGAAATTATATGGATCGTTGTTTAATTCTAAGGAAAGAAAGGGTATAGCCTATGTAGACATGTTTTGCTGTTGAAGATGGTTGCGCTGCCCACAATGCTAGTTCTATGCTCCTTGTCGTGATGAGTTTAAGTTTTCTAATGTGTTAAGTCATGATGTCAAATCTAATGTCCCTATGATTATGGTCATTTAAATATTATGGGGCATATTAAAGTTGATTAGAGTGACACCGGTTAGGATCCTGCGGTTCCCTCATTCCAGTACGACTATTTTCTATCGGATTCACTTAGTCCAAATGAATTTACCAAACTCAGTTCAATGAGTTCTGTACTTTCATTTAGACTGTGGGAAATCTCGTTAACAGCCGTAGGTTACCTTCTCCGAGAGATTCCTGATCATCCGATAGAGAAGTCTTAATTTAGTTGCAATTGTTGTTTTGTGATATTTGTGATTAAATTTTGAGTTGTCTTATATTTTGAATGTTGTTGGAGTAAATTTTATGTTTATTGATTTTATTATTGGTTTTGGTTTTACGGCTATCCTAACAGTTTTGGTTTTCATACAGGGTGTCATTGTTGTTTAGAATGCAAGTTCATAAGCATAAAATGCAGTGTAGAAAGTACGAGAAAAGAAAGCACTGTAAACTGTAAAAATGTACCCGGTGAGTCTTCTCGTTCATCCACCTGAAAAGTCAGTACTTGCAAAGCACATATATGTATATATAATTTTGCGGGAATTAAAACATGCTTATAAAGGAAAGTAGAAAATACAAGTTTAAGGTGTGTCTACCTGATCTTATGTCATATCTTGGTGGTTCCAAATTCTGAAGATGATTCTATTAAACAAATCATAATAAGTTCAGATGTCCTTCAAGATTTCCAAAGGATTATGAAGAAGTTTCGGGTAATATCCTAGACATTTCATAATCCCTTAGAATTATCTTGAGTTAATTTTGGTTTTATCATGTTTTCTATATAGTTCATCCAGTTAATACCCTTATGTTCAATGGATTATGATGTTTTGATTATCTCTTGAGTAGGGGTAACCATCACTTGATGTCTCACTTAAGGATTATATAAGTAAAGACCTTTTGGAGGCAACTTGACTTAATTAAGGAATTTAATTAATTTGATTTTGAAAATGAGCTTGTAGTGTTTTGAAAGATTTTGAATTAATTATGAGTTATTTTCTAAAACCTCATCAGACAATATTTTGATTAAGTCAAGTTCACTAGTAAGCCCTTAAGATTTAATGGGTAGATTTGTAATTAAGAAAAAAAAAGTTTCGAATATTTCTGCTCTCAATCATGAATTATAAATTATACTAAAACCATCAATTAGGGTTCAAAATCAGTGAATTATGATCTTCCAAATCAAACCTCTCACCTTAATATCCCCTTACTTAAGTATTCTTCAAAATTTCATTAATTTGAAAAATTACACATTTATCCTTTATAAGATCAAAAAGAAGATTGGTTACAACCACTTATCGCTTTTATGTTTCAATCATCAAAATATATTAACTAAGATCATTTGTTGCTTCTTTAGTCCTTTGGTTAAGTCTAACTATTAATTAAGTCTTAAATTCCAAAATTACCCTTTTGCCCCTGAGGCGTTAATACCCTATAATTCATTAAATTAGACTCAAATGACATGAAAATTTTATGTCACCTCACTCATGGGTTAATTAAAACATCAGAGGATAATATGTGATTTTTATAAGTTCATTTAAATTTTTATAATTATTTTTAATGTAAAAATAGGGATTTTCAATGAAAATTTAATAACTCTATCAAAATAAAACTTATATCTTTAAGAAAATTACTAAATGTTCACCTAGGTTAGAGGACCACTTAGACAAATTTTCATGATTTTTAGAGATTTAATTTTATTATTAGAATTATTTGTTTTTTTAGCATTAATTAAATATAAAATATAATTTAAGTGGAAAATTAAGTTTAATATTTTTATTAAATCTCGATGAGTCCAGGGAACCCAAAGAAATAAATTTCATGTTTTTGTGACTTATATTTTAATTGTCAGGATTATTTTAGTGAAAAATTAGGGAAAATCCATTTTTAAGCCTTTTTAAATTAATATATTGACTTAGAAAATTAGAAAAAATACATTAATTAGTTCCAAGTGATCAAGAAGCCAAATGTGACATTTTAGTGTATTTTTACAATTTTATGATTTTAATGATTTTTAATCAATTTTTAATTACTTAAAGGCTTAAAATTAGCTAAAAAATGAAGTGTTTATTTTTTTTTAAATTATATTTTTTCTTAGGTTCCTTTAGTTATAAGGAGCTCCAAAAACCAACTTTGGTAAATTTTTGAATTGTGTTTTAATTATTATAATTATTTTAATGTAAAAAATGTCATTTCACTTGATTAATCCATTTAAGTGATAAATTAACTCCAATTAAC